GCTGAGATAAAGGCAGGGAGAGATACGGAGTACACACATCTCATATCCCACACCATTCACATGAGAGCACACCCCCAGAGTAGTGGAGAGACTTTGGTTTCAATTTTTCATGATTAAAAAAATACCTGTTTAAAACACACGCACACGGAGGGCCAAATATTCATTCGAAATTAACCATCCTGTGAGACTGCATCCTTCATAACATCCGGCTGAGGAAAGCAACCCACCACTTGGGCTGGAAATCCCTGCCTGATTGTTACCCCACATCTGAAACCAATCCAGAGGTGCACAGCGCACAGTGCAATCTCACTCCCTCAGGTGCAGACCCTGCTGGCATCATCTCTTGAGTCTCTCAATGAGCTGCTTGCTCCTAAAGGAAATGTACCTGGGTGAGGCTGCAGTGTACTTCCACAAATGAGGCTCTTTTGTTTCTGGTTGTTGCACAAGAATTTGCAGTGGAAGAATAATGGTGGAACATATCTGCTTTGTGGCGCACAAAACGAAAGCTGTTGCTCACGCTGATGGAGTTTCTACCAGATGTTCAGGAGGAAAGTTAGGTCCGAATCTTTCACACTTCTGCTAGCCTACGTATAGAGGTCTCACACCTAGGAATTCCCTTCTGGTGTCTCTCTCATCTCTCTCTCTACACCTTTAAAGCAGCTCCATGGCTCATTCCTCACATGAGTCTGGGCAGCCTGTCCTCACAGCTGGGCTGCTTTTCCCTCAACTAGGGCAGTCATACCAAATTCTCTCTCCACATCTTGTAACTCTACCGCAGTCATTCGGACCTAACCCAACTACTCAGCTTTTTTTAGTCAGTGTTATATCTCTTTTTTTGATTCCCTTTGACAAGTTTGGAAATAATCGCTGTGTTTTCTCAGCTCCTCAGTCTGTAATTGCCTACAGCCTCTTCCCAGAGTTCCTTAAGCCGCTGGTGGGTGTTTTGCTGAGGGGGAAACACGAGAGATTTCTTCATGAGCTGTGCCTCGTTGTGGCCCGGTTCTGTTTCCTGTGCCAGTAGTTGTGTGAATAGCGGTAGCGGTGTGAATGGCTCTGGGCAGCTGTATCCCTCCAAATCCATGTCATTCCCAGGCGACTTGAGAGCTGCTGTTTGGGAGATCCTAGTCACAGTTGGCTGACTGCTTAGCCCAGACCTAAGCTGGTGACTTCTGACAAGGCCTAACCCACTGGCTGTGGTTGAACTGGGTTGACAGCCAAACCCTTTCTGGCTTCTAGGAGTGAGACCTTGGAAATATGGAAGAGCAATACATACTGCACTTTACTGTCAAGCAGGACCAAAATATTGTCCAATACATGGCAATGTACCTCAAGAATAAAGTAACCGGATTTCAAAGTTTGATTGTGCACCACATTTATATACCACAACATTGTATATATGTGTAAGGAAAACACAGACACAGAATGATCTTTTACATTCTCCAGCTGGGCTAAAGATAATATACAAAACCATTGTGGAGGGATTCATGGTTTATTAAAGTAGTTTTTTTCTTTTCTAAATACAGAGCTAGGAAAATAAATGCACACGTTTGTTTTCAGACTTCTCCCCCACTTTCCATTTACACCCGCTCCATTTTATTTTGAAATTCCAGCTTTTCAGTCCAGTCTCTTGCAGATCGCTGCCCCAGCACGGTGCTCCGGGGTTTGTGAACGCCTCCTGTTTACTGGCCCCACTGCCCACTAAAATCAGCAACAGATTTCCATTAATTTCTGCTTGTTGCTGTTGTACCCCAGCCAATGAAACAGTATGTGACCACTGCATGGCCCCAGACACTTTAGTGCAGTGCCTGCCAAGATTGGGTTAACCCTCTGTGAGATGGAGGGCAGAGGATTATAACTCTTCCTAATGTATTGTCTCGCTTATGTGAATTGACAGCTCCCCTGGTTTGTGTGTACAATTCATTACTGCTAATTTGACATGTTTATGGCCCCTCTCCCTTATATTAGATACTTAGGAGAATCGATTCGTCTTAAATCGAAACACCTACAGTCATGGAACGTGTCAGCACTGAGATGGGTACTTATTTTCAAGGACCAAGTAAGTTATGTGCTCCAAACTTCAGGCAAATGTCATTTATATACAGGATGTGTCCCAATTACTTGCCAGCGCGTGATCCTAATGTTGGAAAGGCTGATATGTGATATTTCTGCAGTTGGCAAAGTCTCCTTTTCTTGAATGGGGAGGGACTAATCATTTCAGGATCCCTAGATGTATAAAAACTGTTCTTCCCCTTTGGAACAGTATGGCATTTTCTTATTTCTTCTGATTAAAACTCTCCTTGCGGGGGTATAACCACCGAGTTATTTAAAGGATGTTTTTTTTATTTCTGAGCCTGATCATATGCATGAGATAAACTTCCTGAGAACAGTCCTTCATTGTTATGGTGTGTGTGTGTTTGTGTTGGAGGGCTGGGGGGGGAGGACCTACGGAAGAAGAGGAGACAGCGAGAACCATTAGAAGAACAGCAAGGGGGGGGGGGGGGGGGGGAGGGAGAATTATCAAACTGTATTTGAGAAAGCGGGCCTTGGAAACAAACAAGAGGAACGCTGTAACGCCGGAGCACTCCTGAGCTCAGGAGCGCAGGACTCGAAGGGGGTGTAGCCATGGGTGGGCTGCTCTCTGGGTTTGATTTCAGCTGCGACCCCCTCCAGTCCAGATCTGCCTGCTGATAAATCAGAGCCCGGCTACAGGAACGCATGAGAGTCCAGAACATGACAAACGCCTGGGCTTCACAGCACTATAAATAAGCCCTTTTCCATCTATCGCTTTGTTTTTTTTTAAAGAAATAAAAAACTACATTAACAGAGCACAACAAAACATCCACCCCACCTCACACCCTTCTGTTTCTGTGAATAGCACCCATTTGGCTGGGTTTCAAAGTTAATGGGACTTTAAAAAAGACACATATTTTGATGTCTTTCTCTTTTTTTTTTACGTTGAAACCGTTTGGGTTTCCGGTTGTTTTTTTTTGGGGAGGGCTTTTTTTTTGTTTGACTTTTTTTTTCTTTTTCCCCTCTCACCCCAAAACTCTTTTTTTTATCATTGCTGGGAGGAATAATAATTCTTTGCTTAATCCTTCTGGAGTTCACACTCTTTTACCTCCCTGTGCCTTCTAGAAAAAAACCCTTTGAGAGCCACTTCTGGCCTCGTGTTGATTTTCGCTCGGACAGCAGGCCCAGCGCTCTAGATGTTGATACTGCCCACGGGCCGTAAGCAATCCAATCGAGCCGATAGGTGCTGTCGCGTTCGAAAAATGCAGCAATGCTTTTTCCAAATTTTCACTTCCTAAGGCTGGGCTCTCGTGTAGCGCTGAAGGTTAGAAAACATTTTCATTAAAAAAGAAAAGGAGAGGGCTTGTCTTTTACACGTGGGAAGCACTTTACAACAGGCTGTATAACAGCGAGACATTCGATACTCGATGGCTTGTTCAGTGTATTTCCGGCCCTCTCGGGCTCACAGCTGTGGTAGAGTGTAATTATGACAGCAAGCCCTGTGCGTTGATACAGCTCCAGAGGTGACGCAGGCAGAGAAATTACACTCCCATTAGAACATGCGCTTTGGGAGCCAAGACTCATGACAGTTTTAATGAGAGGTTTATAAAACTCAGGGTCAGCCTTCCTAGTTTTTCTTTCCCCTCTCCTCCTTTGCGCGCAAGATTAACGGAGTTACAGGCCAAGGTAAAGCCGCCTCAAGTCAGAGGTACCTGGAGCAGAAGTGCCTTTGGAAATGGGCTCGTACCATGTCAAGACATTACAAGGTAGCCTGCAGAGTCATTTCCTGTGTGGATTCTGGCTTGTTCCCATGTAGCGAAAGGAACATGTCATAGGCGAACATATGAGCAAGCAATTTGCTTATTTATTTCCACAATGGAAGAAGTGGAGTGAGGTTGCTTTTTTTTATAGTTTCAGAGTCCATGCAAACTTTTATATGGTTGGATACCGAAACAACCCCCTGACTTGACATTTATAATTAACTGGAGGACAATAACTCAATGCCCCAATCCAACCTCCCCCACAGCTAGCTCCCTACCGAGCAGAGCTTACAACATCCAACTTTTATTCCGTATGTTTCTTTGGAAATTACTGAAAGGAAGTAAGAATAGGGAACACAGCACATATTTCAAATTTATGAAACTTGGACACTCTTGCGTTCCAGCATGATTACACTGAGAGAAAGAAGAAAAAAAAGGACGAGGAAAAAATTCTCATCTGGTAGTTATTAGATACTTTTTTTGTCTTCTTTTCACCATTTACACAACGTGACAGCTTGTAAGTATTTGTGCCATATTTCAAAGTTATGGTTTATAAACATCTGGTGAACCTCTCTTGCGCATTCTTGAGAAACAATGTCTTTTTTCCACATTGCGCTGTGTTTGTTTTGGGTCTGGAGAGGTGAGAAACTGCAGGGCTAATGTGGGAGAGTGTTGTTCTGTGCTGGAAGGAAGGACTGTGGTGGTAATGAAGCACGAAGGAAATGTGGAAGTTTTGCAAAACCCGAACTCTCCCACAGGAGTGTGAGCCCACTCTAACCCCCCACTTATGAAAAAAAGCCAGAAGTTTTCCAACTTGCTTACTATCTATCCAAGCACACCGTTTAGAATTAGGGTGCGTTTCAAGAGCAAGCAGTCGCAGGGGCTTATGGGAATGAATAGGATTTAGCTCCCACGGTTTCACAATGCTGAGGCACAGGACCCTCTGAAATGATTAATAATTCCCCTTCAAGTATATAAAATCAAAAATAGCAACCACAGACAGCTGGTTTTATACCCAAAGATGAATTAGAGGTCTGTTTAATCAGGTCTGCTTTTAAGCATTGTTAAACAGTGGGAGTTAATTAATATGAATTCCCATAATTCACAGCGATGGCACACCCCATACTCTGTTTCTCCACATTTAATAACCTTGTCGTTAAATAGCCTTGTCATGGTGTAACCTTTAGGCCCCTTTTCGCTAGTGTTAAAAATTAAAGCCACGCTTCCATGTTTATTTCTGCATTTTGTTTTTGCATTTAATTACATTTCATTTGTGCCTGCATACATTTGCCGCAGGTGAAAGTAAGGCAAACTTGAATTCCTCCGTTCTCCCGCTGGGACTGTTTTAAATGCATATCTTGGAGAAACCCATTGATTCAGCACTGCAGGAGATGTTTGCCACTGAAAAATATAGTTCAGCTTTCGTTTTTGATATCCTTTCCCAAGGCCTCCTTTAAAACAGTATGGAAGTGTGTTTGGGGTCATCCAGAGCATCATGGGAATCAAAGCAGGCCTTGACTTTGCTTGGCAATTGTTCCCTGTTCTCTTTCTTGAGAAACAAAGGTTACATTGATTAGGTTCCTAAAAAGAAAGTCTGTCTTGCCACTGGCCAAAATCTGATGTGTTTTTCTTGGCCTGGCGTAGTTAAACTTTTGTCATTCACTCAGCATATTTTAACAAATTAGAAACATTAGAAACTGAAATTGTACCAGTGTTTTGGTTTCAACATTACAGTCCTGCAATTATATTTCAAAACACAGCAAAATTGTTTGACAGCAAAATTGAAAAACTTAAAACAACTTTCTTATAGGAAACACATGCTTTTCTAAATTAAAACACATCATTAGGCTAATAGGAGGACAAATGTTTGGTAGGGGTTTGTTCATTGCTTAGACATGTATTTTATATGTATACATAGGCTGGAAAATGACATTAGCCGTGTAGCTTTACAGAGGGCCAGAGAGGAGAGTAAGTGCCAGACTCATGGTGTGCACTCAAAACAACTCAATTAAACAGCAAAACAGAATATATTCTTTACTGTCTTCGTTCAATAACTCTGGTATCACTATGTTTTTTAAATTCATGCTAGGGGTTCCAACCTACTCCACCACGACGGTTATACTAATTAGGTTTGAAACAAACACTGGCTATTTGTCAGGGCCACATTCCCCCATAACTGCAAAATAGCCATGCCCAGCCATGAGAACATGCTAAGAAGGGTTTAATCTGTCCTTTAAACTGCTGCTCGACAAGGGCAGCGTTTGCTACCTTGCTGTTTGCACAACACATCAATCGGCAGATTGAATTTTTCAATGATTTCTTTGCTGTGCTTTCGCAGGTGAGGAGGGTTACCTTCCCCCATGTTGTCCAGTGGTGTGACTGTCCACACGCTTGTCCCACCCCCCCCCCCCCAAGGCCGGGAGGAGTCATGGCCCCCAGAATGGAATGGTGCTGATTGGTTCCCGAGCACCTTCCTGCTCTTCTGCTCAGACCACACACTGCAAGCCCCGGAGAGCTGCACTCTGGGGGATGGACAGTCGCAGTTCAGAACCCATGGCTGGATGGATTTTTGTTTTACAAGCTTGTTCGCCAGATAGAAGCCTAGTGAGTCTTCCCTGTGCAATTGTCAGTACACTCTGGGAGTATGGCAGCCATCTTTACCATCACCAAGGCTACCGGCAGCACCGGCTGTTGATAAGCACGTGGTGAGCCAATCCATTCTTAACACTTCACCAACACACATATACAATTATTTCCACACACAGCCCTGATGACAGCAAACTTCCCTTTATTATTGGTCTAACCCCACAGACATTAACCTGAGAAGAACAAGGTCGGAATCTAAAAGAAGGTTAGATCGCTATCTTCTAAAATACACATATTTGTGTTCATAAACATCTCCACTTCTGTCTTTAACAACCAGGGTAAGCTTTTCTGACCACAAATCCTCCCATGGATTACTTTAAGCTGTTTTTTAAAAAAATTATAAGAAACAAACTGGACAAAACACACCTGGGTCTGAAAAAGAATCTTTCGTCAACGAGCGGTTTCCAGGTAGAGTAATCAATGAGGAGAGAGCCTGTCCTTAGCCGCCTTTGTGAGTGCAGGAGTAAAGGGCATCACAAAGGCCGTTGTTGCTGTTGTCGTGACCCAGACTGGGATAGAATGAGAGGGCCTTGATGCTGGGCTGTTGTGGGAGAATAACAGGAAACACTCCTTCAAGCTGGGAGAAGGACAGCCTGTCAGTGGAGCGTGTGGGGCAGGACTCCCTGCGCCCAGGCTGCAGGCGTGAAGCGATCTTCCGAGCCAGATAGAAGAAGGGTGGAGGAGTTTGGTTGGAAAAGAGACAAGGAGGCCAGGGAGCTAGTGGGGGAGGGGAGGTGTCCAGATGTTGCTCTGCTTTTGCAGGCTGCAGTATTTCACTTGCAGGGGTCAGGAATTATTGCCTAAATCCTGACTCCTTTAGCTACCGCCCACAGCATCCTGGGAATCTTCTTCAGTCATTATTTAATTCTGGGACAGCTCTCCAGATCAAACTCCTGGAGATGTATCAAGAGAAGGCTGGATCAGTGAGCTATCATACCAGTACATGTAGTCCTGGTTAGCCACAATTCAGAATACAGATGTTTTGTCAGAGATGCTGTTCCTAATGGTAGCAAGCTTCTCTGATAAAAGGATGTGCATAAGAGACTTATCAAACGTTTCCCCAAATATACTGCATTGCCGAAGGACAAATGTCCATCACACAGTCTCCAGAGTGCTTTAGGATTTCAGGACATAAAAGAGCTTAGATAATACAGTAATAATTGCAGTCCGAAGTCTCTCAATATTTGTACAAATGAAGCAATCTTTTTGTCAGAATCAGTTTCTCGTCAAGAATGAGCTGTTTATACTGGCTCCCGAGTGGCGTTTGTTTTGAGTTTCAGCCAGGAGGACAAAGTTAAAGCAAGTTTCCCCCTGACAGTGGGTGACAGTATGTTCTGCGCTCTGTATGTAGAAGAACGTTTTCCAAATTTAGAAGTAGTTTTCTTTTTTATTCTTCCCCACCCTGGTCTTTTTTTTCTTGTGTTTATTCTTTTGAAGTTAAAAGTTAAATATATATATTTTCATGACTATGAAATAACTGGGGGTTATGTCAGTTGTACAGATTTGGGTCTGCGATTGTAAAAGTACCAGGGGCCATCATACTAGCAAGGGGTAGTATCATAATCTGTTATGATTCGTTAAATTAATACCAGAGAAATTACCCAACTTTTCTAGAATCTTATTATTAGCTGCAGTGGTGGTTAACACACATATGTGGGGATCCTGTGAAGAAGAAATGTTCTTTCTTTAAAGCTCAAAGAGAAGCCTGGTTCTTTCTACTTGATGTCTTGTGAGATTCAAGTGTACATTTCTGCAATGTGTTTTTTTTAAATATGGTCTTAAGGAACTTGGAACCAATGTAGTAGTTTGGCCAATCCTGATTATGACAGCACAAGACTGAGACTATAAAGGGACACGTTTAAATGCTTGACTGAGGAAGTGACAGTCCTGGCTGTAAGATCAAGGCTGAAAAATTCCCCCTTCACTTACAAGGAATGAGCAAGGGAGGCAGCTGTTAGGGTGAAGATGGGGTGAAGAGAAAATATTAGCTCGGCGAAGGCTCAAGAGGTAGACATTTATAGCTAAGTGAGCTTAGGTGCAAGATTACACTTTGACCTTGTCCCAGACCTCTGTTGAACAACTCTGTTAGTGGAGCACATCAATTAGCTTGCAACTGCAAAGGAATTTATAATAGTATTCCCCATTTTGTTCATTTGCTTGCTGTTAGCTTATTGATTCCAGGATCCTAGAGAATCTGTTTCAACCACAGATTCTCTAGGATCCTGGAATCAATAAGGCCCCATGCCGGGGTAGTTTCTTCTCATCTATTCTGCTCTTTATGCACAGGGGTTGATTTCTGATTTCTGTCCTTAATGATCTTCCACTAGGTCTCTCAAGTCTTAGTTGCACTGTTGATCCTGAGGTAATCCTACAGGTTGACTTTGCTGATACCATTATGCATCTTAAACACTCCTCAAGTCCCTTTTGTACAGGTGTGGCAGTAGGTTTCTTGAAGGGCAGTGCGTAGTATGTGTTTTGATTTCTTTTTTATAAATTGTCAGCTTCTTATCGCAAGGCCTCGGGCACACGCAGATTTTCTGTCACTGCAGTTTTATCATTTACATGAAGCCAGAGGCGATACAGTAAGGACTCTGAGAAAATGTAAGGCTGTTGCCTGCAAGGGTGCTGTAACCCACCCAGAACGGCAAGAACCTTCTTTGTTGCAGAAGTAATTACAGAAGCTTTCACTGAACAAACATAACAACAGGGTTTTCACGCAATGAAACGTTGGGCTAATTCCCCGTAAACAAAAACAGATGAAGTCAAACACATAAGCCGAATGTGCAAAGACCACTTCATTCCTTCTGCAACAGCCTGGGGGACAAGAGTCCATTCGTTTGCATTTCCAACAGATCTCTGCTCTTAATAAGCTGTATTAAAGCCTTATTTCTGGCTTTCCATGACCTGGAATGAAGAGAAAAATTATGCAGGGCTAAGAAAACTGAAATAGTTTTCTCTTGCGGTCTGGACCACAGAATTTGTTTTGGTCCTAAGTGATATTTTAGTAAATTGAAAACATCAACCTTTTCAGTTGAGCTTCTTAAGAAAGCAAAATGCATTCATATATGAATAGACAGCATACAGCATTCCAAGATGTTAAGTGAAAGTTTCGGAAGAGCTGGCTCTAAAGGGTTTAAATTATTTTCCCTCATTTAGACTATTCCTTTTACAAAAACTCATTCACCTTTTCGGTTGAAATTGTGTCTTTTTTGACACATTAACAGAGGTTATCATTCCTTCATATGAACATTTTCCAAACTTCTTTTTAATAGATTTTTTTACTGTTATACCAAATTGTTGTGTTTTCTTGGCAACTTACAGGGCTTCATTTAAGTTTTATATGCCAAAACAGTAAAACAAATAAATCATTTGTTAAAACAATCGCTGAAAGGTTCCCTACTGTTTGAATTGTTACCACAAAGAAAAACACATTTTAATGTCAATAAAATATGCACTGCCAGGCTAAGACACCGTCGAGGGTGTATATAAGTTTGATCATTAGTTCTCAGATACTGCACAAACTGAAAACCTAAACAGCAAAAAAGTTATTTAAAAATAAACTTTGCCTTTCACATCTCCTTTCCATGCGTAGTTACTGTGGTAACCTCATTCCTCTCTGGGAATTACCTGAGACTACTTTTAGGTTTGGCATTTCATACGAGCCTGCTGATGGCACACTGTGCCAGAAATTCTGGTATTTCCCTAAAAGTTAACTTTTACAGTTACAACTCATAACTTTTGTGGAGGGCGAAGGGAACATTAACAATAAGCACTGCAGCTTACTGGCCAGCTATTTAAAAATGTTTTACGTTGGCGTAGGATATATGATTCAGCAGTTTCCAATTACTCTATAAAGCTAAGAGCCAAAAAAAATCAAGAACATCACAGCTCCTCTACTTCATTCTGTAAAAGCAACACACACATCTATATATATATGAATCGTATATATGGTCAGCGTGGGGAGCTTGGGGAGCTGTAAAGGAACAAGTTAATTCTACACTGAAAAGTGCAAACAGTGCTGTAAATGATTTATTAAGTACTGTGTTATTAATGATTGTCAAGCTATGCGTGTTTGTCAGTGTAATGCCTCTTCTAAGGTTATGGAAGGCCCACTCACCCCAGCATGTTGTAGGCATGTTGTTACAGTGCAATTAAATACACTATTAACCAATTAAATACACCCATTTGTCTGCAGAATACCCTGTGACCTGTAATTGTAGTGAACACAGACAGAAGAGGTTGGTGTGGGATGGGAACACAGGGTTCGGAATTCTCCAGCTGTGGCAGGTGGCTATAAGGTGTCACCCAGTGTGATTTCAGTGAATTTCAGTGACTCTCAGCTTCATACTGAGTCAGACTCTGCAGTGGTCACATTGCCCATGAACTCTAAAAGGTCATTGCAACTCTCCCTTCACTGCTTTAGAGTGCCTACTGCCAGATCAACACAGGAAATCCACACTATACTCTTCTAAATAACCAATACAGCTTATTTAGTTATGTTAAAGCTAAATCCCTTTGAAAAACAAAAATCAAGTGACCTGATAGACTCACCTCATGCAGGTTGATTTTATTATCAGTCAGTAATTCCACAATTACTGTACATGTTGAATAGGTTCTGCTCTACACATTTCCAAACACAACATTTATCCATTCATTTTCTAATGCTTTATCCAGTACAGGGTCAGGGGGGAACTGCAGTGGGCACAAGGCAGGTTAACCCTGGATGGGACGCCCATCCATCACAGGGCAAGCACAGACAAAAAACACACACGCACACCAGAGCCAATTTTCCCAGAAGGCAATTAACCTACCAGGGTGTCCTTGGACTGTAGGAGGAAACCCGAGCACCTGGACAAAAGCCACACAAACACAGGGAGAACGTACAAACTCCACACACATAGCATCCCGGTAATTGAACCCAGGGCAAGACAGCAATGTTAACCACTATGCCAACATGCTGACCCAAACAAAACCATGAGGCAGCAATATCAGTATTATCTCAGAGGCAGTCAGGAGAAAAGTCCAACAAACGAATATGAGAAAATAAAAGAGATGTGACTGAGGCTGTTCAGACCTATGCACTCAATGGACCAATGCCAAAACAGGCCAGAGAAGGGAGTAATGGGATTATAGGAACAAAAGATTTGGTGGCTGCTGAAGAAATTAAGACAAAGGTAACTGAAGAAAGCTATCAGATACTGGATTTCTATGTCTTTCTGTCTCAGTTCTGAAACCCAGTGTTTAACCACAGAATCCAATTGGTTCTTATGATAAACACACCGCTAAGGAGCTGGTTGTTCACCAATCTTACAATGGAAGAGACTGAACTGTAGGGTATTACACTACCCCAGCTGTGAAGAATCGAGATGGAATTTGTAAAACAGGGCAATGTGGGGACTTTGGTAAACATGGGCCTTCTGACCACTGTTAACCAGAAAGTGAAGTTTGGGTTTGTTTATAGGTGTCCCATTTGTTTCATATTGTGATGCAGGCAGCAGCATGTGAACAACAGGGGACCTAAAGTCCATTTTCTTGTTTCGCGTGTTCGTTAATGAACTGCTCCATGTTTGATTCTACACTCTACTTCCATCCTTCGACACGAAACCCGCCAAATGCTGTGTTAGAGTGTCACTTGTGGGGGCTTCAAAGAAAAATTGAACGAGCAGACTTTCCCAGTCTCACTTCAGTGAGTATGATTCAAATCGAGCAAAACATGCTTTGTTTTTCCTTTTCTGACACAGTGTAAATGAAGCAGAGGAAGGTAAAAAAAAAACCCGGGTGAAAATACAGATATCATTCAGCTTTAATTTGCTCTGTATTGTGTGTCTTTTTTTTCAGCTATTGGAGAACTTCCAGAGGAAAGCACCTACATGTACACTAGAAGAGATTATCAAGTTTTCATTGGAACCATATGGAAATGATTCTCTGGTAATCTCCAGTAATTGTAACCGTATTACAAAGAGATTCTGTTTTTAATTTTCTTTAACTTCTTGACTGATTGAGTTATTAAATCACATTTGCTGTGTTTATACAAAATGATGTAAATGTGTGTAATAAGAGACCATTAAATATTTGTGAAAACAGCGATTAAGAGTGCCAGTTTTTACAAACTCCACACTGTAATGAATTAAACAATTTTAACTGCCTGTTCTGGGAAGAAATTCTCCTTTGTGTTTTTCCCAAACCCATTGAGTGTGTTCCCATGTTGTAATTGTCAATGGTGCTTTTGAAGACCACAGCACGTTATAGCAATGGTATGAGGTATAAAGGTAAAGGCTGGCTATGAGAAAGATCATGCTGGACTCTTTGAAAACATAATGGAAGGAAGAATGGTGCTTATACTGTGGGGTTATAGAATAATGTAATGTTAATGTTTCTTTATTAGCCTTATACAATTTCTTGGAATTAGGAATTCATCTTTTTGCATACCCCAGCTTTTCTCCAAGGAGACACAGGGGTCAGAGCATAGGGTCTGCCATTGTACAGCACCCCTGGAGCAGTTGGGGTTAAGGGCCTTGCTCAGGGACCCAACAGAGTAGAGATTCCTCTGCCAGCCACAGGATTTGAACTGGCAACCTTCCAGTCACAGATGCAGATCCTTAGCCACAGAGCCACCGCTCCACTCTATATGATCATCTGTAAGGATACTATTTGTAGGATAACATATATAATATACAAAGCTGTATAAGCACTTCAGTCCCAACTACAGGAGTTCTGCATGTGACATACAGTTGTTATAGGAAGCATGTGGGGCTCAGGTAAGCCCATTAAGGTTCATTAAGCCTCCTAAACAGCAAGATGTTATTCCTGATGATGCCTTCATTACTGATGGATCCAGCCTGGCAGTGCAGTCACACAGAGATGTTTCGCTGACACGAGACTCAGTGACCTAAACCACGGTTTCCCGGACTGTGGGGGCCACAGCCCACCAGTGTGCCGTTGAAAGTGGAAAGGTGTCAGGTGGACTGTGGAATCAGGGGAGACTGTGTTTAAACAGCGTGGGTCAGGACCCGATAAGAGTGTAGCTCTACACTTATACTAAACAGTTCTGTTCACTGAAACAAGATCACACTTCAGTTTGGACCTCAAATATTTTGCATGAAAATCAGAATTGTAGTCTGTATTTAAATTCAAAACAAACCAATTTTTTTTTTGAGTGCCGCTCATTTTAAAGTCATCTGGGGTGCTGAGAAAAAGTTGGGGACGTTATGTTTGAATGTTTTTGAGAACTTGGGGCTTTTATTTGTTTGGCGATGGTGCCTGGGCAATTAAACCACTTGGGCTGCTGATGAGGTGTCAATAGAGGGTCAGAACCCGTTCATGGCTCAGCAGGTCTGACTCTGACCTCTGCTGTCTGTGTCCCAGGCTGCTGGGCTCCTCAGAAAACAGCAGTGACTGCTTAGTGGTCCTGCAATTCCTCTAATGAAGGTGTCATGCACTGAGTTTCCACAAATGTCCAGGCTGAGTGATCTCATTCTCTTTCCGTTTCATTGGATCTTCCTTACTTCATCATCTGCTCTCCCTCAAGTTCTCCCCTTTCTCTCATTTGTACTTTGAATTTTGTACGAGGCAGGGAATATCGTGTGCACTTTTACATAATGTAATTTAGGCACAAGACTACAACAAAGAAAACATCTCAACACAAAGTTAATATCTCTGTACCTGGGAGGAACTATAATAATATCGTCTTTAAATAACACGTAAAAAACTATTTCAGTGATCAATTTGTCTTCGCACTGCCCCCGATGTGATCAGTGAATTACCATTGCAGAGTAGCCCTTTAGCTTTAACGAGGTGTTCTAATTATGCAACATACATCTCTAATTTCCTTACCTAAAATTGGGGTTTAATGAGGTTTTTCAACTTTGCGGAATAAATTACTTTCACTGTGAAACAGCCTACAACATCACATCAGTCACAATAATATTCTAGTGCATTTTATTACTTTGTATTCAAGTCTTTTTGGTTTCCAGGCTGATCTGACTTCTGCTCAGTAGGCGTCACATGATGACTTGATACAACTGTTCAAATCCCTGAATCCTGACGAGTCAGCTTCGGCGGATTACTTCACACTCAGCAATGCAACAAGGACACATGAACAGCCAACGGAATCTGTGTAGAGCAGGACGGAGAACAAAGGGCACTGTTTTTACACACCTCTTGTACACAAAGAGTAGCAGGTGTCTGGAACAAGGAGTCTAGCCAAAATTCCTGAAGCCAGTTCTTTTGGATCCTTAAAGAAAAGTCTGAAAGAGATCCTCAGATCAGGCTGCTGCTAACAACCACACAAGCAGAATGGACCGAAAGATGATTCTCTGTTCCAATAAGACACCAACATATAAATAAACTAGGAGTGCTGGCTTATTGGGCTCTTGGGTCACCTGTTCTATATCTCATCTGTTTCCAGGTGTAAAAGCTTCAGTCGAGAACCACACTGCCTTGGTACTTATTTTTCATTTTTGACGTAAGGCCCTGAAGTGAAATGAACAGGCGAGGAAAGCGTTTCATCGCAGGCCTTCAGGAGTCAGAGGGACCAAACCCAGCCAAACGAGGAAGAAGACGTCCTAACACCCCCGCCCCAACCCCCCCACCCCGACTAGACAATAATCACACTGGTGGTATGTTGCAGCATTACCGAAAAACTATAAATTTCACTCAGCAGCCGGGGGGTACGACTGCAATCATCATTTGTTTTCTTGAAATGCAAGGTTAAAAAAAGCAACAACAAAAAAAGAGAACAACCCCCTACCCTCCCCCCTACCCTCCAAAAAAAATTACAGCTTTTGATACATTAGCCCTTGAATGATAGGCCAAAGACCTGCCTTAATTGCTTTTTTCTTGTAGTGTCTCAATTTATTTTTCAAAACCCAAAGCACACACTCGGCTTTTTTTATGATTGATGATGCTGCAAGGATGCATCAGCTCTAGTAAAGTGCGAGGTGCTTTGATTAACGATGCTGGTGGAGCTCCCAGAGGATGGAGAGAATAATATTGTTATCTGGGAACAGCTGCTGCCTTCCGCCGAGATGGACGTAAGGCCCCTCGGCCACTAGGGGTCCTTCCGCCCAGAGAGACGCCCGGCCTTGAGGCAGCCTCCCAGCCTGATCACCGCTACTGGGCCGGACGTTAAAAACGCGACCGGAGGAATCTAAATACACTTGGCAGGCAGCATCTGTCGTATCAGGGCAATCTTCAGTGCTTTATCAGCCTGCTCTATTTCAGGGCACCTACCCTGCCCCCACCACACACATACGCACACACCCCACCCCACCCCCATCCCCCCTCAGCTCAGACGCTCCTCTCCTTTAACTGTACTCGACTGTACAGCAGTGCATTACTCAGCTCCTGTCTTGTCCCCACAGAAATGGCAACCTTAATTGACTCGGGATCACTTCCCATACAAATGCGCCGTGCTTTACGTTGGATGCTGAAAAGAAACTCAGTCGGGTGGCCGATTTCGTCTCGCCCCCCCCCTTTGCGATCGCCCTGGAGGAGAGAGATGGCAGTTTTCTGCAGTCGCTCTAGGGGGCCTCGGCAGAGTTTAGGCCCCAGACTTCCAGCTCGCAGACAGGCAGGGAGGATGCACCTGTTTCGTCAGCTCGTTGGCCCGCTCAGGGAGCGGGCTGGGGTCGCGTGGAACGCAGCTAAACGAGCTCCAGATTTCTGCGAGACAGGGCAATAACACGACAGAGTTTGCAGTTAACCG